GTAACTGAGGACTACTAATTATGATTGAAACAGGTAACTGGCAGTTTTGTGATCACGCCTTGTGTTTACACATAAGCTCTCCCTGGATGTTAGCATTGTGATTCTGACGATGAAAGTTGTCACTCAAATGGAATTCTTATCTGGTAATAAAAGTAGCCTCTGTGAGAGTAACTGAGGACTACTAATTATGATTGAAACAGGTAACTGGCAGTTTTGTGATCACGCCTTGTGTTTACACATAAGCTCTCCCTGGATGTTAGCATTGTGATTCTGACGATGAAAGTTGTCACTCAAATGGAATTCTTATCTGGTAATAAAAGTAGCCTCTGTGAGAGTAACTGAGAACTATTAACTGTAACTGAAACAGGTAACTGGTAGTTTTGTGATCACGTCTTGTGTTTACACGTAAGCTCTCGCTGGATGTTAGCATTGTGATTCTGACGATGAAAGTTGTCACTCAAATGGAATTCTTATCTGGTAATAAAAGTAGCCTCTGTGAGAGTAACTGAGAACTATTAACTGTAACTAAAACAGGTAACTAAAGGTCCTACGAGTATGATGTGTGTTTACACAGTGGTAAGTTAAAAGTTGTCGGATAGGCTTCACAATAGAAGTTTCCGTTAACGTGAGCTTATGATGGGTTCACTGGATATCACTGTCTAACTGCAGGAATGGTGATGTGAATGATTGATGATTGAGTTTTACTAGAATATCCGTGTAATAGTAAATTTAGTCCACGTGGGGCTTGTATGGACTGATTATGTGTGATTGAAACAGGTATCTGAAGGTTTTACGAGTATGATGTGTGTTTACACAGGGGTAAGTTAAAAGTTGTCAGATAGGCTTCACAATTGCAGTTTCCGTTAATATGCAGGAAACTGAGCCTGCAAGCAAAATTGTAGTATGTAGCGGTCAGCGGTCTTCATGACCTTGTATGACCTTCATGAATCGGCTAAAAACGCCCGTATTTTTACTGATAATTTAGCTTTGAATTAATTTTGAGACCAAAATCTCAGATGCTGTCTAGAATGAGGAAATTGCTGATCGTAGAGGGTCCCGGTGAAGAAAAACTGATTTTACTCGATTTATGGTTAGTGGTCTAGAAACCTCAGTTCCTATACTACTGATACTGAAAGCGACGAAGAAGAGACGGAAGCTGACGATGCGCAAGAAGATGAAGAGGTCGAAGAAGATGAAGGTAGGCGAGAATTCAGTTTGAGGCGAAAGAAACGTCACTAAGACCAATTCGCTTTCTTAACTATACATAACTCGTCCTAATGGATTTAGCAACACAGCATACATCAGTTTCTTCAACAATATTTGTCTGATCTTTAGTGTCTTCAAATTCATTATATGTCAGGTCTGTAGTGTCTGCGAATATCTGACAAATCAACATAAAATATATGACTGAGCTATCCCGCGTAGTATACTGTATATATTTGAAATATCAATATTACTAGGCATCTCAATCGATTTTACTAAATATTGAATAATTGAAATCTTTCAACATCAGTTCAATCGAGCAACACCCCTAAACATGCTCAAATTTTACCAGTATATCTTATCATATAGCCTCACGTTAGCATAATATAATCTAAAAAATATTTCGCATAGAGTCGAGTATCACACTGTGTAGGTCAGTTTATTAGAGCGCTGCAGCGGAGCAGTGTGTTACAGGTTCGTTTCTAGCAAGAAGACCAATAATTTTGTTTCTGCAGGAGGGCCTGTATGCAATCATGGTTCAGTCTGAAGAAATGTATAAAATTTACACTCGAAATTTCCATTCATAAGTCCTCGAACATTTCATTTAGTTTGACATAATTAACATCATTTTCCTTTATTTCGATAAGACATTGCACAAATAGGATTTTCTAGAGCAACAAAATATAGACAACATAATTATCTGGTTTCAATAAGTTTCATATATTTAAGAAATAACGAACAATTAAACAAATATATTTCCTTCTTTAGAAGAAACCACCGATATCGCAGATGACGAGCCGGAGAAACGAGGTCAGTGTTTTCCCACAGTTATCATATAATTTTTAGAAATTTATTTTCTGAGTTTATTTTCTTTTTCGCAATATTTATTGAAAGGGGTTGTAACCAACAGAGTGCATACGAAAAAATTTCCCATTTTCCAGGGCTATATACTGTATAGTTGTTAACCAACTTGCAGCTTTCGTCAAAAATATGCGTTTGACACATCTATGATATAGGTCTTTTGTTTTCGTAAATAATTCCGACTAAAATGAATGTCTTTCTGACCAAATTTTATTCGGGAACAAATTTTCCTAATTAGATCTGTAATATATAAATTAGACGCAAGGCTGACCAGTCCGGCGGAAAGATGGCGTCAGTTCTATTCTCGTAATATTTTTGTCAGTTAACTTTATTAGCTAATAAAATTCTCGTTATCTGTACTACCTTTGTATTGAATAAGTCGTAATTAATAAGTCTTAATTAAGCATTAGATGTACGATTTGCCCACAATATGATTTTGTATATTTAGGATGGGTATGCAGACGATACAGGAAAGGCAAACTTTGGTGTAAGGCATGTGGATGTAGACGTGTATGCAAACCCAAATTTTGCATTAGAATTGTCTGCAAACGATTCATATGTTTCAGGAGAGTATGCCGTATTGTGGTCAGATTCAAAATCGTCAGATACAAATACCGCAACCCTTATTACAAAGGATATGGAAGTCTCTACTTGTGGAAGACCAAAAAGGTTCCATACAAAATTCGTGTCTGCAAAAATGAGCCACGTTTCTGCCCCAAATGTTACAGCCGACGTTATAATTGCGGTCGTGTTTGCAGGAATGTGTGCAAATACAGAAAGGTTAGCGATAAGTAAATAAATAAATACTTGAGACTTTTTTTATTCCACATTGCACCATATAACTCTAATATGGTTGGCTATTTCTATCTGGACTCAGTAGTTCATTGATTAAAGAGATACAAACAATTTGCATAGTCGCAATTTTCATTTCGACAACAGCTATTCTCACATACTTAATACGAATCTCATTGGATAATGGCAAATTCAAATGCGTCTGATTGGTCAACAATATTGCGGTAGTGAGAATCAAATCTTAATCGCCATATCATCTTAAAAAATTCTAGAATGATGTTTGTGATGTTACTCTGAGTGTAAATCCGCCTCGGACAAGCTTGTAAAATGCCGGGCCACTGTAGGAGTCGAACCAAACCTTCGTCGTAGGTTCGATTCCCACCGTAGCCAGGCATATGTTTGTCCGGTGTGGAGATGCACTCAAAGTAACATCACAAACATGATATTCACCTGAGTACATAACGCCAACACAGAAAAAATCAGTTCTAGAACAATTAACTCATTACCATGTTAGATGGGCAAAATGATTTTCAGGGTAACAAAGAGATGGCATATAAATGTTTTCCCATCTGAACTAATACTTTACGAATAGATTTGCAAATGGTTTGATGGTTCTTTTCATAAGAAATATTGTGGCGTCAAAAATGACGTAGCGGAAGCTTCGAATGCTTCGAAGCTCCGAATTATAAAACTACAAAATTCTACAGCTGTTCGTTTGAAATATACATTATTTTAAAGCTGGTTCAAGAGAAATATAGTTAATGCACAAAACTATGCCTCTATCTCTATTTTAATCTAGTCGGTAAAGGCATTTGATATTACACCAACTACACTAGACAGCGTCGTTTAAACATTTATACCATTGCCTTCAAATAAATCTGAATGAATGGTTTCAATTAAATTATTTGTTATTTTCTTTTCTTTTCTAGTGCTCACTCTACGGATAAACTCAAGCTCTTTTCCTGAAAGAATACCTGGTTAAGAACGGATAGCAAGCATTGAAAAACGGGAAATTCACTAGAAATAATATTATAATATATAGTTGTTGTTAAAAATAAACAAACTTTTCATAATACGTCTTGTTTTTTTTCATTTTCCAAATTATAGAATTTGCAAAATAAAAGGAACGAATTATTCCTTAAGGAGGCTCCATACAGTTGTCTTTATTTCTCAACATCTCTGCAGTGCAGGCGCTATTAATGCATATTGTGCATTCGTTTCTACTTGGAGGCAGTATCAAACATCAGTGGAATATCTAAAACTCGGTTTGACAATGTAACTGTTGCGAAAGCATCGTGACGAAGTTGCAAAACCGCTTATTTTAGCGACAAAGTTATCTTTATCTGAAAAATATATCTGGTGAGCTATCTTTTCTATTTCACACATCAATAACGCATGTATCCCCTGCAACTATTGAGAAAATTTAATTAAATTCCTTACAGTGCATTTTTCTTAATTAATAAATGCGAAAATTTTATAGCAAGATTTCCACTGTAAAGAATTTTTTAAAATTTGAAATATATAAAATTACTAAATTTAAAATTTTTGGTCAAAATTTGGGGATAGGTTATCGACGAAAGTAATGAGTAAAATGCAACTCAAATTCTAGAAAAGCCTTGTGTAACTCGAGAAATTCCCCTCATATAAAAGCGTCGCTGACTAGTAAAAGATTGTACACGTGCGCAGAACGAGCTATCATCCTGCAAAATCGAGCGGGGATGTTGTTTTAACTATTGTGTTTTTTTCAACTTTTTGATTGATTTGAGGGCCATGGACAGCCAAGGATAATTGTGAAGGATCAAATCGATGAAAGCAAAAAAAGTCTATATAAGGTTGAAGCTAATGACCCCTGCCGTTTACTCAATCTATGAGCTGTAACAGCCTAACAGGTGGACGTGATTTTACTTTTTTTGTTTCATGTTTGGTTTTGTACTTTTTACTAAAATGAACAATTAGGCTATGAAACTGTGATATTTTTCTGTTTACATGTAATCACTTTAATCTTGTAAAGACACAACTAAAATCGGGAACGTTTTCTTGAGAAGTGAACAAGTGAAATGGTGCCTCAAAGCTGCAGCTTCAGTGGAAGCCAACTTTTATTGAAAACAAGTTTGTTTTACCTGGCATTTTAAACATATTTTAATCACAGTCGATTCAAATACAAAATATTTCATTACAAATAACTATTACTTCACTTATCTAGTTATCTGAAATATTAAATTGGCAAGGTTTTTCTAACACAGTATTCTATTATTCCTATACTATGCTTATACATACTCTATATAGACAGTCACATACTATCAACATAGAGTTTGTCTGTCAGGGCCTGAAATAATGTTCCCAAAATTCCCGATCATGGTGATTGGCAGTCATGACTTTCCCTGCTTTTTCAGGTTGGAAACCCTGCTTTTCCGCCGATCATAAGCAATTTCTTGCCTATTATTGGTTGGTGATCAGTTGTTATTCAAGCCCTGGTCTGTTGAAAAATTTAACTGGTTCAAGATGCAATGGACCTGTGTCAAGCCAATGAGATCAGACCCGATATTTGGCATCAGCTTTTGTCTACAAAGCCTGAATGTTTGGGGGTGGGGGATTATGGGAAGGTGGTGATCTTGAAAGGCTAAGTTTGGTTGATGATGACAATCCAAACGCCAGGAAGCCGTTTTTCTCATGTCAGTGTTGTGTACAAGAGTGAGGTTATTAATTGCTATTGGAGGCGAGAGTGGTCTATTTGCAAGCCGAGATATTTAACTTTAACCACATGTTCCACAAAATTTTATCAATAACGTTTCGTACAGTACATATGTTAGGAATAATTTCCTGGTGAATTTGCATCATGACCAAGCCAAGTCATTTAATTTAAGTAGTCTTCAACCATAGTTCGCTTATAGCCTTTTAGTGTCCTATAAGTGCCGAAATAGACCTTTCACACTTGCACTGTAAATATTTAAACTATCAAGGTCAAATTAGGTCATCGGTACCTGTCAATGCTTAGGAAACAGAGCTATGCAAGCAATTGGCAGTTGCATCAGATCTAAAAATATAACCAAAGATTATATTATTATCTTTATAAAGTACATTTGCAGAGCTATTATCAGTCAATCAATACTCTATAAAGCATGTACACAATAAATATTTTTATCCAACATGATCAAATATTTGAGATCAAATTTCTGCAACTTGAGGTGTTGTGCTGGAGAAGTTAATGAACACTTACCACAAATAAATTTAAAATAAAAGTTTAATAAAACATAAAATTTTCTCACAAATAATAGCTGTAAAATACTCGCTTCCACGCTCACAATTCTCTCGTTTCCCTAGTCACCTCATTTCCTTAGTTGGGGGTGTGGCACAGGCTTGTCCATTTGGCTCACACTCCCCTAAAAATTGAAATTGTCAATTTTTAGTTAAATTACTGTAACAATAACAATATGAACGCAACTATACATGTTTCTATAGTTCAATTGTCCCCTTCATCCTGTAACTGCAACCGTATCCTCTGCTCCGCTTCCTTCGCCGCGTTTCTTTGAACTCGTTGATTCTTAGAGACCGTTTCGTTCTGCTTTTGCTCCACGACACTTTCTGCGACTTTAAGTTCCAATGGACAGACTAATTGTAAAAGTCGCTCAATTCTTCGACCGTTGTGACACAAAACGACGCCCCGTAGAACACCGTCCTTGCCCTTTACTAAGCGTAGTACACGACCTTCCTTCCTTTCACCCCGATTCTTTTCATCACCCACGATCAAGAGTATGTCGCCGACGTCTGGTACACTCCCGCCCTTCGTTTTTGTACGATGCGTTTCCATTAAAGCGTGAATATACTCCCTTTTCCAGCTTTGCCATGCGTGTTGTCTTGCGTTAATCAGCCGCCTGTTCATCGATGTCAATCCGTCCGTGTCTGTTTCCAGTTCCTCGAGCGGATATGCATTTCCTCCCCACATAATAACATTTGGCGTTAGGACCTTCGGGCTTCGACTCTGTCTCGCCCTCCACGTACGTCAACGGCCGATTATTCAAATTCTTCTCAATATCCATTACCACCTCCTCCATGACCTCGAATGACAAGTGAGATTTCCCCAGTGTTTTATATAAAGTTTTCTTGACTTTCTTAATAAGCCTTTCGTAGAAACCTCCCCATCATGGGAATTTCGCAAGATTGAATTGCCGCCTGATTTCTTCGTTTGCAAGAAAGTTCTGCATTTTCTCGCTCTTCCTTATAATCTTCACCCAATCAGCTGTAACTTTGAAAGTTTGCGCCTTGTCCGATATTATCATACGCGGTCTCATTCTGCGGGTAATAAAAGCATTGAGTTTCCTCTGAAATTCTGCAGCCGTTTGATCTTTCGTTACTTCCAAATGAACCGCTCTTGAGGCTGCACACGTAAATATTAAGACATAGCATTTTCCGTCATCTTTCTTAGTAATTTTATAGTGCAGCGGTCCTGCGAAGTCCACGCCGGTCACTTCAAATGGTCGGTCACCTTCCGTTCTAAAACTTGGCATTTTCGCTGTGATTGGGGCTCCAAACGGTTTTGCCGAATATAATTTGCAAACGTTGCATTTGTTGATGACTTTCTTCACTTTCTCACGTAACCTTGGAATCCACCACGTTTCTCAAAGAGTCGCCATTGTGTTTGAAACAAACGCTCCTCCCCCAAGATATATTGGCTGATAATTCGTTAGTTGTCCTTCGCATTTGAGTATCCCGGTGTCACGCTCTTCTACCAACCTCCATCCCGGCGACTGGATATCTGGCCGATCATTCTGCTGCACTCTCCTCGCCCATTTATTTCTGGCACTCGTGATTTAAATAATAATCATGGAAGCCCTCGATGAAACTTTAAATCGAGTCGGCCTATCTAATGACCTAGCAAAGTAAAAACACTCGACATATTTAATAAATTATGAAATTAGCAACTGCACCTACCGTTCCTTGTCCTCTCCTCGAAATCATTCTTTTGATGAAGAAATTGCCTTCAAGGCAAGGTTTCTTTACCGGCAGTCT